AAATATTAATATTTACTTTTAAATTAAGAATTTTAATAATGTATATTACTAAAATTTGAATTATAATCTACAGTTTGATACCAAACTTATAAATTCATGAAATAGTAGTTCAATAAAATTTTGAATGCGAGTCAACAAACAAGATGACATGGCCTTTTAGCTGTGACCTGTCTCGAAAGGGTTAGTTGAATGGTTACTTCGTGTTAGTTATAGATGAGCTTGATACAAACACACACACACACACACACATGTACTTTTTACACTAATGTGCTGTACACTAATACGTCATCTCATCTGATAAACTTTAGCTTTCAGTGAAAGATATCATTGGTAGCAGTGTGCGACACATGATGAACCTTTAACAAGTGCAGTGATGAAATTTGGTTACATGATTTTAGAATATGTACCTTTGATACATTTATACTCTACAAACTGTTATGTTTTACTTATGTGAATGTTGTGTACTCTCTGTCTGAAACTTGTAAAATTAACTTTCATATGGGCATATTTTGTGGATAAAATGAAAGTCTTACCTCATTGGTGAAGGAACAGAGTGACTAGGCAAGGAATGGGTAAGGAAGAAGGCATGCCCCTTCTCCCTCTTTATGAGAAACGTTTGAAAATTGTGTTTATAAATGGAGTGACCTAATGAACTCTAGCTGAAAGCTACATTGTATGGAGTATACCCAAGCAAATGTTTACCCTTTGTGAAGCTTTGATTATGAGAGATTGAACACAATGTACTGTTTTTCATGCTCTTTCATTTAGATACATTGTCTTGGTTGCACCACAAGGTTTTCCCTGGAATAAAAGTAAAGGTAATAGAAAAGTTGACAAAAGAGTGCTTAAAACCATCTTCTCATGCAACAAAGAATCCCGAAAGAGATTGTGAATTTGATGTCATTATGACTTTTACAAAGAGTAAGCATCATTGAATAAGCTATAGATTAGATGCAGGCAACATGGCAAACATGTGGATGCAATCCCACAGCGTTAAGGCATGCTGAGAAAAAAGAATGGACCTGAACCACTTCGTTTGGTTGCCATCACTATTACACACTGTATCATTGTAGTTATAATATAGTTTAATGTGATGTTTCTTATGCACTTATTAAAATTTTGGAACTTGAATGAAATTGGAACATTTTTGTGTAGAAAAGTTTATGGAAGTATTTTTGCTATAATTTACAATAGTTACTTTTGTGTATGCTTTAATCAAGGTATTTTTTTCAATTTTTCCTTCCACCCAGGATGGGGAAAGGGGAGTGGCAAGTAGTGAAACTAAAAGACCGTGGGAAAAACAGAACTCTGTAAATGGTAACAGTCCAAATAAAGGATCGGGGCCAGAATCACCAAAATTGTTCCGCAGGTCTGTTAACTCTTTGTTGAAAAAATATGTGAATAAGAATTTAACAAAGTTTATGTCAAAATTTAACTTATGATCACAGTGGAAAATAAATCATTTAAATATGCTTCAGTTTTAAAATTCCTTTTGTAACCTACAGGTTATTCAGGTTATAAATAGTTACAGGATGGAACAAAATTACTTTACACATGGACTATACGGTTGGTACAGTTGGTATTATACATTTGGTACAGTTGGTATTATACAATTGGTACAGTTGGTATTATACAATTGGTACAGTTGGTGTTATACAATTGGTACAGTTGGTGTTATACAATTGGTACAGTTGGTGTTATACAATTGGTACAGTTGGTGTTATACAATTGGTACAGTTG